TACCTTCCCACCAAAGGTGGTCCCTACTTTTTTACTTGCATTTTTACATGCTTTCGAACTGCTAGGTTGGCAGAAGCAGGGACAAGTAACGGAAGCTCACTCCGTTACGCGTTGGTAGGGTTTCGAACCGCCGACCTTTCTGATTGACAAGCTCAGCGTCAGATAAGCAACTGGAAGAATAGTGAGCTTACTTGAGGACACCAATGAAGGGATTCTAAAAACAAACAAAGCATAGCCCTGTAGAAAAAAGCATCCATTATCCAGTTAATATCAAGCCAATGATGTTTCACAGAGGTGAACGAGGCTATTCCTGTGGATGAAGCTTTCGAAGATGCAGTTGAATGAGTGAAAAGACCCTGAGCATCCTCTGTAAGAGCTAAACCATTAACGCAAAAAGTGAGCTACTCAACGATCAAGTACGAAAAGTGTCATGCTTAGACAGAGAGGTCATTGCATGGATTAAAATGACAAGGAAGATTTACTCATCGTCTTATTCCTAGCTGAAAATAGCCCCAAAATACAGTATGTCAGACACAAAGATGGGGTGGGGTGGGGTACCCGGATTATGAAGAAAAACATCAGGCCACTAAAACGTGTGACATTTGAGAAGTAGAGAAAATTTAAAGAAAAGATTCTCTTATCACAGACAATAATCTTGTGCTTATCCAAAGTTATGTGGAGCTGACACTGTTTACTTGTAGGGCAGTTTTCATAGTGAAAAGATATAAAGACACAGAAGATCCTTGGCTCAAATGTTTTGGATGATAACTGAGCAAGGACAATGGAAAGACTCCAAGAAGGGGCCCACTTAGTAATAGGAGGAAACAAGCTATGGAAGCTAAATTTAAATTGTTTAACTATGAAGGAACAAAAATTGATGAAACACTAGTAGTGTTTATACAGTAGAATGAAAAACTGAAATTGCCGCAGAAATAAATCCTAAAAGCTTAATAGGTAAAGGTTCCCCTTGCACTTATGTGCTAATCGATCCTGCCTCTAGAGGGTGGTACTCATCTCCGTTTCAAAGCCAAAGTGCCAGTGTTGTCCGAAGACGTCTCCATGGTCATGTGGCTGGCATGACTAAACGTTGAAGGCGCACAGAATGCAGTTCCCTTCCCACCAAAGGTGGTTCCTATTTTTCTACTTGCATTTTTACATGCTTTCGAACTGCTAGTTTGGCAGAAGCTGGGACAAGCAACAGGAGCTCACTTTGTTACCCGGCGCTAGGAATTCGAACCGCCGAACTGCTGACATTTCTGATCGACAAACTCAGCGTCTTAGCCACTGAGCCACCACGTCCCATAAAGCTTAATAGGGACTCCATTTAACACTTAACAGAAAACAAAAAGGCATATCTGCTGTCAAAGAATTATGACTAAACTGTTCCTATCAAGCAAATCTATTCTATTTTGCATTATAGTAGCACACAGTAGAATGTTTCCTTCAGGTTTTAAGGATACTTCAAAGCAGAGTTCCACAACCTTTCCAGCTTTGCAGACCGGTGGGAGGGAGAGGGGATGGTTCTGTGTGAGCAAAGTGCACGCAGGCACAACTCCATTTGTGCGAGAGGCCAGCACACCCACCCACCCACCCACATCACTTGAGCAAATGGTGTGTGTGTGCTTGCCCGCTGCTCATGCAAGTAGCGATGTGCTTGTGCACGCTTGCTCGCCGCTTCCACAGCCAGGATCCGAACGGCTCATGGCTCAGTAGTGGGCCGTGGCCTGGAGGTTGGCGACCCCTGCTTTAAAGAATGCAAGATTTGGAGAACATCCATTAGACAATTAGGCAAGAACTCATGACCTGTAATAGGACTTTAGCATTTTCAATCTTTCTTAAAATCAGCAGGAATTCTGCCTCAGGCTGATATGGAAGGACCTGAAAGAAAAATTAGCTTGGACTTTTTTTTTTTTTGACATCCTGTATTTGAAGCTGGTAGGAGAATTAAATTGGCAAGGTCTAGAGCAGGGGTGTCAAATTCAGGGCCCGGGGCCAGATCTGGCCCGCGGGTGTTTAGATCTGGCCTGAGGGGTGCTTAGATCTGGCCTGTGGGGACGCCCTGGAAACAGGGAAGGACCGGCCCGCAGTGCCTCTGCCAGAGAAAATGGAGCTCGGGAGGCCTGCGTGTGGCCCACCCAAGCTCCATTTTCACTGACAAAGGGTTGCAGAAGGCTGTCGCAGCAGAAAATGGAGCTCGGGAGCCCGTTATAGCTGGCAGAGCGCTCAGGCCATCACAGGCGCCCTCAACACAAGTGACATTGAACTAGCCATGCCCACTCCAGCCCTCTGAGGTCAAACACAACCTTGATGCGGCCCTTAATGAAATCGAGTTTGATACCTCTTACCTACCCACCAAAAGTAGACAGTATTCTTAGGGGCCTGCTCCCAAAAGGAGGTATGGAAAGGAAAGGGCTCCTTGCCTGAATGCCTGTGGTATAAAGTTCTAGCACTAAGCTCAAAATTTGATCCCTTGGTCTTCTCAAGGGTGAAAAAAGAACTTTGGCTGTTTGGGAGTCAGGGGATTCACAACAGGAGTTCAGAAAAAGAGTTGATCTTGAAGGGCTGGTGGCTGAATGCTATTGAAGAACTGTGAGCTACAAATGCTTTTTTTAAGAAAGAGGAAAGAGATAGGCTCAAGTCACAACACGCAAAGAATGCCCCCCATAGGGTCACCAAAGTGGCCAAGATAAAGAGGAATTGAAACAGTTTTGTCAGATTACTCTTCCATTGACAGTTGAAGGAAGAGAGCTGTCCCTTTTTAGACCAATCATAAAAAGTTTCAGAATGAACCTCTGCATGAATGCAAACCCATTAGATACAGAGATACAGAGAGAGAAAAAATATTAATAGTTTCTCAAATACCAGCCTTTGCTCAAGCTGCTACTGAATAGTGTTAGATACTGGGTGGAAAGGGGAAGGTACCATACTAGATTACTATGTTTTTATTAGATGATTGCACTGGTCAGAATTGGAACAGCATTTTGCTCAATCTTTTTAATTCTCAACTGTTAATATACCCAAAGATACTACAAACCAAATCAGACCAAAAACAACCAAACATCCAACATACAGAATATTCTTTCTCTGTGTATTTGTACCATGTGTCTATTTATCTATTGCTCCTAAATTCAAAATATGCAATTTATCAGGCAATTGGCTCCTGGAAATCTGTATCATTAATAAATGCAATTATCTTTTGTCTTATGACAAATGTAAGATATTAACTCTTACTCATATTCCTGTTCAGCATGAAGTGTCAATGATTTCACTGTCTTATGCAGTGTTTTATATTTTAAATTAAAACCACAAATTCCAGCTATATTATCTTCCTTTTATCATTATCTCTAATTGGTGTCAAATGTAATTGCTTGAGTCTGGGTCCCTGACAAATAAAACAATCAGGCACTTTGATATGACGTAAATTGGAACTTCTACCTGCTAGTAACCAGAATAACTAAAGACCTGAGAGATGTCAAGAACACATTGCAATTTTGAGCACTTTTCAGCAAAACAAATGCTTGTGTATATAATTGAAGTTAAATAGTATAGTTGGCAGAAGCTCTCATAAAACATTTCTAAATTCCATACATATCAACAAAACCTTATTTTGAAACTTCCCATACCCAAAGGCCAACTAAGGGGAAAAAATATCCATCTGCAAATAAAGAAATGTTAATGTGCATGAACACCACATGTTTGCGAGAGGAACTGAGGAACAACATGAATATTTCGCATAAATTGCTCTTATCTTGCTCTCTCTGCACATCAGGGAAGAATTTGCAATCTATTACTTTAAATTCTGCATTCCCTTGATAAATCTGGTGGAAGACTGGAAACAGTGATTACTAGTTTCTAAGGAAGTTCAACTGTTACATTGCTCACTTTCAAAATTACCTAATTGCCTAATTTATTCCCAGATACCCAAGATACGTTATTCTCAACGTACCCAAGGATCTCTCCTATTCTGCTTTCCAATTCCACCACAGTTTGCGTTTTG